CTTTTTTAAAAAAAATTAATTAACAAATTTATTTCTTCATTTTTCATGTACTAATGTATTATAATCTATTTATTGTTTTCATTATTCGTTAATTAAATTATTAATGCTTCGTTATGTTCCCTTCTAGTAGGCCAAATTCTGTCTCCAGTATTGTAGACCTATAATAATGCCTTTTAAAATCCCTGAAAAAAAGAACAAATGCTACTTGCATTAGACGTACGTACGGTGTGAGTATGAGGCCTTTGGTTTATCTCTCAACATAGTTCCCTACGTCAGTATGAATTGACGTGTGTTTATTTTTGCCTTTCGGGGAAACCCCCTACGTCAGCAATAATATCTTTGAAAACAGTTTTGTGGATGGATATTCCTGTGTGCTATAAATACCCTTCCGTGAGCAATATCAGTCTTACTCTAAGCTACCATCGTCAAAACGAGGCTAACGCATGAATCTCCGGTCTTCCCCAAAACCACAAAATGCCTTCCCGGAAGTTGATGTAACAATAAATAGAGCGTGGCGCCAACCAATAAACGTTCACTCAAGCGAATAGAGTTTTTCTTGACAGAGGCTTAGAGTAACCGCCCTTGGTTTTGCCCCAGACACAGCGCTATTAAGCTGTCTTGTTTGTTTGTTGTTTTGTTTGTTTAGGGTCTACTTTATTTATTCTATTTTATTTCATGTTATTTTATTTCCCTTCGGGAGCCATGGCAGTAGATGGCGATGGGGGTAGAGTGGAAAAAAGGGGGTGGGGGAGATCCGTGCTTTTAATGTTTTTAAAACCCATCTATCTTGAAAGGAAGTTGAGATTTTCCGATTGAGGTGGATAGGGGTCGCCTGGTTTCAGAGGTAAAATTAGCGAGAAAATGACCGCCAAAGTTTGGTAACTCCAGCAGCTTCAGAGTCCAGTTGAAAAATTAAATCTTTTGTGTCTTTAGCCAACGTTGTTCAGTAAAATTCACATTGCAATGTGTGTTCTTACGAACATAAAAGGTGTTGAACTAAAATACAAACATTCGACAAAATTACCAGACTGGCGGAAAAAGGTCTGTTTCCTTTGATTTCATTATTTTGACGAAAGCCTTATTTTGCCACGATGCCTCACATATATGACAGACACCGTCATGCTTACTAGTCTTAAGTGAAGCCATTTAAAAGTAGAAAAATCACATAATTCTAAAGACTAGAGGGTACACATATTACAGCTCTGGCAAAACAGAATAGATAGGTCTTACACTGTCAAAGTCTAGATGTGTTACTTTTAGAGAGTACTAGATGGGCCCCCTTTCGATGAAAGGAATGATAGGTGCATTACACTCTAATGGAATCGAGCAATACATTTTGAGAGATGCAAAAAATTAGAAGGTCTAGATCAAGATCTATACTCTAAAAACAAAATAAATGCTCCTCGCAAAATATCACTTCCGCACCCGATTTTTTTAAATTACAGAGACAAAAGCGATCGGCGAAATAAAGAAATTTAGGTTTTTGCAACAAAACTGTCTTCAAATGAAAAAACGAAGGGCGTCATGATCTGGAGAATATTTTTAAAAATCTTTTGGCGAAAACTGCATGTCGATCGATGCAGCCATTAACAAGCCGTTTGAATAGCAAAATTCGGCCACCATAAATAGATAACAGATACTGAAAACAAGGAGGAGATCTACAAACATGATATTATATTATAATGTTTGATTGAAAAAAACCGAACAAACGACATCAGACAAATCGCCAACAACCCACTAATGTTAACAGTGAGTCCGACATCTTTGTCGTATCATAATAATATGTAAGGCTTTTCAAGTCCGACTCAACGGACCTGAGTTCAATCCACAAGAAGCAAAATACAATTTTTAAATATACATGTACAATGTATGTGATACTAGATCTAGATCTAGAAGGGCCCCCTTTTGATGAAACGAATGATAGGTGCATTAACATCAACTGAAAGTCATTGGCCTGCTATGTTTACAGTCTACTGGAATGGAGTAATAAATCTTGAGAGGAAAGTGACACATGTGTTTCCAGTTACCAAATAATGTGTATAGATTGATTCTCTGTTCTGCTTTCGTGGTCGTACCTTCCAGAATTTCAACCTGTGTGGTAACAGTGCGCACGGTTAGTGGACAGAAACCTCACTTGTTTACAATGGCGTCTTAGAAGACGAATTTTCCCAAGACTATAATCTAAACGAAGCTAACGAAAAACTGAAAATTAAACTACAGTGACTTCAAACTCATCAATAAAACTGTGCACCCTTTGAATAATTCTGAACCACTATTATTTTTTTTTCAAATTCAAAAGTTAAGTGGCTGGGAAGTTTTAGGCTGCCAAAGTGACGGACTTTCACAAATATAATAATATAGTGTATGACCATAAGTTCACCTTCAACATAGTATCTCGCAATATAACCCTGAAAAGCACTGATGCACACAACAATCAAAGTCGCCTGCTTATTAAATCGCGTCGATGAGGAACCAAAACATATGTGAGGCAGCGTGGTGG